TGCCATGTTGCCGTTGTTCAGCATGGAAACATTCATTAGCTAACAATGACATTATTGTTCTATTAATATAAAGGGAGGTCAGGTACTCTTTAAAACAGCTGCTAGTTATGGGTACTTTTTACTTTTACATTACATAACATTGCATTTAGCTGACGCTTTAATCCAAAGCGACTTACAATAAGTGCATTCGACCAACAAGATACAACCTTGAAGAAAACAGAATCATATAAGTACATCAGGTTTCATAGATCTAAAACATTTCAAGTGCTACTCAACTGGCTTTAGATAAGCCAGACCTTTATTAGTATATAAGTGCTTTGTTAGTAATTCTATCGCTCGAAGTGGAGTCAAAAGAGATGAGTTCTCAGTCTGCGCCGGAAGCAGTGTAAACTTTCTGCTGTCCTGATGTCCATTTTGTCCTGGATGTAGGAAGGGCCAAATCCATTCACAGCATGGTACGCGAGTACAAAAGCCCAAACTTTTTTACTTTGACTTGAGTAAAGAAGTTTAGTCAGTACTTCTACTTTTACCAGAGTATTTTTAAACACGAGTATCTGTACTTCTACTTGAGTAAAGGATGTGTGTACTTTTGCCATCTCTGGGTGTGATGCACCTTCCCCCTAACCCAACACCACTCACCTACCCATCATCCCTCGGAAACTGGGTAACATGAGGAGCCAAAACGTGACTCGAATCAATAACATTTTGAAATTATTGACAGAGTGTTCAAAGGAAACGTCAAAAGGTGACAAATAGCTGAGAGTCTACAGACGCAGGTTTAAAGGTTGGTGAAACTTGACTTGGGTAAACATTTGGAGTCTTTGAATAGCTTCAATAGAGCTGAGAATAAATGGGGAAATCATAAGTGGTCTATTTGGGATGAATCATTAATTTGTGGCTTTCGTTATCATCTGGGTTGGTGGGAATGGGTCTGGCACTTTGGGACTTTGGGGTCGACAAATCCACACGTTTGCGGAGGAAGATATCTGGAAGTCAACGTTTGTATTCTTTTCTCCTATTTGGGATAACTCTACATTGGTCGGATAAAGGAAACTAGCGAGTATGAATTCCACAGTTGAAGCTTTGGCCTTCCTCCTGGGGTTTCTGGCCTGGCTGATGGTTGGGATCGCAATTCCAAACCGATACTGGAAGGTTTCTTCAGTGGATGGTAATGTTATCACTACATCAACCATCTATGAAAACCTATGGATGTCCTGTGCAACTGACTCTACGGGAGTTCACAACTGCAGGGATTTTCCATCTTTGCTCGCACTAAATGGTACGTGGCCAACATAATATAATATAATATAATTTATTAGCGTCTATTAGTACTTATCTGGCTTTAATGCTAATCCACCTACTCAAGGAGTCAGGATTCTGAATCAGGATTGCCACGTAGCCAATGAGCAAGACCTTACTCATAAAGCAGTACAAGTTGTGTGGGGAGAAGTGGCTTTTGTAACAGGTTATGATGAACAGATTAAAAACAGAGTTGCTCTTGACATGTTGAATCTTATACCACCGGATCAAACTCACCAGTAGAGAAACGGCTGTCCTTACTTTCCTCTGTTTTCATAGACAGGATTGTAGTGTACCTTTAGGAGAGTTCTACTGTACTGGCCATAATCTGTAGTAAAATTGGGTAATAAGATATAATAAAATGAGAGGGAAGATAAGCAAGCAGAGCCACCGTGAACCCGCATTAATAGACTCGTAAATTAATAAAATCTTTGTGAATCCGTTGGACACTGTTAACGAAAACCACCAGTAAAGGCATTTAGCAAAGTGATACAAGAGACCAGGGATGTTTAGCACATGAAACGTGAAACTGGATGCCTAGTCCTAGTCATGAGCCCTGGAGTGAACATCTTGTTCATCCCAGTACATGCTTTTCCAATCACACATACTTCTGTTTGTTGGAATTAAGTTTTCAAAAAGTTGCTGCATGGCTCCCCTTCAAGGAAGCAAGAATCAACTCACTGAAACTACAGAGGCATTAACATCTACAAACATATTCCATCATTTGGAATACGATGGATGTTTGGATGGATTGAAGAACATCCTTATGTTTGTTAGAAGGTTCTGCATGTGCTCAAAGGACCAGGGTAACCATTAGTGAGCCACTCGCGACAAGTATTGTTGTATCAATAAACGTCATTACTGTGTCTACAACTTGAGTTTTTAACACAATAGGAAACAATTGTGATGTTGATACAAGTCCACATTATGGTGTTTTCTTTATGTTTGCACACAGGGTACATCCAGGCCTCCCGGGCGCTCATGATCACTGCCATCGTGTTCGGGACATTTGGCCTCGTGGCCACTCTCGTAGGAATGAAGTGCTCAAGGATAGGAGGAGAAAACTACGTCCTGAAGGGGAGGATCGCAGCCATTGGAGGAGTCTTCTTTTTATTACAGGGTAAAGACTTATGGATGGATGGAATGGCGATGCAACCAATGAAAATATTTGGTTTCTTGAAATGTATTTGGGTAATGAAGAAAGGTCCCCGCGTAGTACTTTAAATTGACTGAGGAAAAAAATAGCCCACTGGAGAACACACACACACACACACACACACACACACACACACACACACACACAC